GAGAGAGAGAGAGAGACGACGCGGTTCGTTCGGTGGTCAGTGGTAAGCAGAAGGAAGGACACGTCGATGAATAGTTAATGCGATCAATGGATGAATCATGCAACGGACACGGCGTGTCGAGCTGCGTCCCGCGACCTTCGAGCGCTTCTAGCGCTTACGAGTTACGAGGAAAACTGATACGTGTCATTCCGCGAAACACCCTCCGATTTCCTCGTCATATATTAATATCTCGTTAACAGTAACGAAACACTGTTTATTCGTACGATTTTCTCTTTTTTTTTTCTTCTTAATCGTCGTTAACCGCACCGCACCATGATCGATCCATCGAATCGAAGCACGTGTATATATATATTCGGGAATTGGGGTACGATTTCGATGGATTGGAATTGCGCACGATCGAGGATGGAAAAAAAAAAAAAGAAAAAGAAAAAATCGAGAGGGGAAAGCGCACGACTTTCTCGCGCGGCGAGAACGAAGTGGCGGTTGCCTTGGCCTCGTGCTACGAATCCTTCCTCCGTTAGAAAGTCACGAGAGCGACACGGCGGTGTGACCGGCGGTGGAGGGTCGTGAAAGGGAAACGAGCGACGACGATGACGACGACGATGACGATTTTTCGGCGAGCACACGAAAAAAAATATTATAACGACACTCTATTGGACACGTACGTGCATTATGATAGTTGACAACTCCGTTCAGGATTCCTTTCAGTATGGGTAACTCGTCTCCCATGACGATCGAGGAAAAACGATCGAGACGAACGCTCGATCCCTTTAATCGTTTCTGCGGCGTGTAGATCCGGAGCGAACTTCACCGCGCACCAAAACTAATCTCCCATCGGCACGATCACTACGGGTCGACGTTCGCGGTGAATTCGTATGGCACAGCATACACGCGATTATATATATATATATGTGTGTATATATAAATATATATACGTGTAACTTATGAATCGATGATGTCCTTCTTTTTCTAATATTCTAACGTTCTAGTTTTATTTTATTATTTGGAATGGTATCGTGATAATCCGCTCGATCGCTGACTATCGGCTGACTATCGTCGTTACCGCGAGTCACTCCGACGAGAATCGTGTATTATATGGCGCGGCGTGGACGGCGCGCCGCCAGACACACGGCTGTCTGGTTCGCACACGAGCGAGCAGAGAGTTGAAGAAAGGAGCGCGACAGTAGAACGCGTGCAAACGCGAGACAGCATCACAGCCGACTGAGTGATGTTCCGCGGGTTGCGTTCAACAGCCCCTCCACTTATTCAGCCATCAACGACTCCCACCACCGGCCACGATTGTGGCCTTTGCCGAGCCTTTGGCCTTGAACTTGGTTTCAGCGACAGCCGCACGAGGCGTAGCGCCGACCCATATACACTATATAGCTGAGCGAATGTACGCGGCGACGTAGCGGCCAGCGCAGCACACTAAAAGGAGAGGGTGTACGTGACTATCTGTTTGCGTATGTATATGCTTCGGAGCGTGTGCTTGTGTGCGTGTACGTATACCTGTGCACACCGATCTCTGCGTACCCTTCTTTCTCTCTTTCCCCTTTCGTTGCTTCGTGCGTGAACACGCGACAAAGAACGGCTTCTAATCGAGACAGAATGAGATAGAGAGGGAGAGAGGAAGAGAGGATCCGTTGTCGGAGTGGCGAGATTCTTTCTCGTGTGCGCAGATGCGAATTTCCTTTGCTGGGGGTAAGCTACCCTCGACGACCTTGGACAACCCCTCGGCTTGCTGGCTATTTGCCCTGTCACCAGCTGCCGTCGTTGGACTTATCCCGTTCACGGACGATCGATCTTTCTTCCGTTGTTTTCGAATGGTCACCTAATCCTTTTCTCCGTGCGTTACTACTAGATCAACTTAATCGCGACGAGGGAATTAGGAATTTGATTTCTCTTCGTGCGGTTTTTATCGGTTTATCTGTGTTTACACCGGCGTGACTCGAATTCGTTCGAGACGAACGAATAATCCGACGAACGGATCGGAGTTCGCCGGTTCCGGCGACCACGAGGAGGTCATCGTGATCACGATTCATAAAGCGTGCCCGGCTCGAGTCACGTACGAGTTCCACCGCTAGACAGCTGCCGATCCGTGCGTGCACAGACATCGGCTCGAACATCATGACGGTATTCCGTCCCGAAGAGAGATCATTCGCGAACGTCTAACTGTATATTATTCCCCTAGCGAATGTCATTGATCGCTGGTAATCGCAGCATGTGTCATGTACCTCGTCAAGGAATCCTAATTAACTCCTAATCAAACGCGTCAATTAACGCGAGTCTCTCGAGCTGAACCACTGATCGAGCGACGAGAAAATCGAGCTGGAGCAGGTTCCTCGCGCGTATCCAGTCGCAAATTGCGAGGCGGTCGAATCCAGTCATGTCGGTTTGGCGGGACTGTCCGAGGCGAGCATGCGCCCGAGTGCCAGGTAGCTGAGTCGCGATGACGGGAAGGATGGAGGGGAAGTTGATGCGTGACGGTGGTGGGGGAGAAAAACGATCGCGAAGGGGACGAAGTTCGCGAGGTCTCCGCATGGAGCGTAGCGCCACGCGACGGCGCGTTGTCGGTGCGGGTCGCTGGGTGGGGGGAAAGCTTGGACAAGGAGATCGGGCAATGCGTGGTAGGGGAAGGCGGGAGATGATCGAGATAGTGTACGCGCTGGCGAAGAAGTGGGAGGCGTGGAAGGAGGTGGAAGGGTCACCGGGTACGTAGCGGCGAGTAGCGGTACTCTTTCTATAGACGTGGAGTCGCATGCAAGCCGAGCAATGCCCGACTATTGACCCCGCGCCACGATCCACGCTTGCTATCAGCGGAGGGACTTGCTTCTCAAACTTTGACTCTCTTTGTCCGAAATAAGATTTGGACTAAATACGCGTGACCGTTGATCAGCTCGTTCGAATTGGAATAAAAAAAAAAAGAAAAGAAAAGAAAGATACTTAACGGTCACAGGAAAGTAAGTCGAAAGTAACTTGTTGATGTAAATATGAGGCGCGCGAATACGGTTTCTGTACCAGTTAACTAAATTAAAAGGAGAAGGTTCGAGAAGCTGGCCGAATATTTCGGCCGAGTTTGATCTCCAAAGGAGATAGGGACGTTTATAGATCAGACGGCGGTAGTAGTTGCATCCGTGGCGGGCCACTGATGCTCCCCGGGTCGTTGACCTCGGATAGGTCTGCGCGTCGTCGGTCGAATCTACTAGCGTCGATCTGCACGGCGGGAAAAAGAGGTCATCGGGCTGGTTCGGGATCATGAATATGGATGTTTCGAAAAGAAAGCAAACTCATCGCGAAAAGGGACCACGAGGGAGATATATAATTGCGGCTGCTTTCTCAAACGGCGAACTGGCCACTTTCGCCCATTGCGACACTTGTGCTGTGTCGCGGGGAGCGGTGTTACGCAAACGGTCAACGACCCTCCACTCTAGATTTTAGAAACTACTTTTCGGTACAAATGTGCGCGTTACGCGATCGCTAGGTTGTCGTATATCAAGGGAATTCGTTTCTCAATTGCTTCGTCGTCTATGCTTCCATTCCTATTGTCGTCAAACATTACGATATTTGTCAACATTACGACCAGAGAAATTGAGAAACTTTCGAGACGAATATTCGCAACGTACATACGTAATTGACGTAAACGTAGGGGACGTTCAATTAAGATAATAAAGAAAAAAAAAAAAAATAGGACTCACCATCACGACTCATCCCGACAGCGATGCACTTCTTGAGACGGCAATATTGGCAGCGGTTCCTGTTGATGCGCAGGATGCTGCACTGTTGATTCTTGGTGCAGGGCCGGTACTGAATCTTCTGTTGAATGCTGCGCCGGAAGAATCCCTGCGAATCACCAACGAAACCCTCGTCAGTCTGACCGTCACTGTCCGATGAGGACCCCGACGAGCAATTGGTCCCCGTGCGGGGGGTGGCCAGGTCACATTCGCACAAGCACCCCATTAATTCACCCGGTCCCAGTCGGTGCTATCTCGCACACGGTCCCTCCTAAAAGGCGATCGCGCGCCTTTGCACGCGCACTGATCTCTCCTACTTCCTATCCTCTCCTCTTCCCCTTACACGCAGAATTACGCGCGTTATTACGAGCAACTCGCACCAAGTCCAAGTCCGACAAGTCCGGCCTCGATGGTCGGCGTAACACTCGAAACGTCCACCGAGGCGTACTTGTCTCGGTGAAAACAAACTCACGGCGCTTCTCGAAACCACCAAACTCACCAGCGAATCGGGCGTAACAGCTCGTAACCGTACGATATCATGCGGAGGCTCTGGACGCGAGTTTTCGGCGGGGGAAAAAGAAGCGACCGTTTGTATCGAAGCTTGGCTGTGGACTGGCTCTTTCTAGCACAGAGAGCATAGAGCCTCGGCACATTGCCTCTGGCTCGGCGAGGTGGGGGACACTCTGACCCAATTCCCGGACGTTCACCCGCAGTTCACCGCGTGAAAGTGAGAGTCCCCCTTGCGCGCACTCTGCCTCGCCTCGCCTATCTCTCTCGCTCTCCCGCGCGCTATACCCACTCCCTCTCGCTCCCTCTCGCTCCGATCTATCCGTCCCGTTTTGTCTCCGTTCCCTGTCCCGTTCGCGCGTGCTGGCAAACCCTCGATATATATCGCGCTCCTTGTCGGCCGAACGCGACCATAGAGGCTCGCGCGCGCTTCCAACGCTCTACTAACGGGTTCCTTCCCTTCTCCTCCTCCTCCACCTCCTCCACCACCACCGCCGTCACCTCGACTGGCGTTTCTGCGAGGAACCACCCTCTCGAAAAACCAACCTCTCCCTCAACCACGCATATTCCACCGATCCTCTCTCCTTTGCGAATAAACGCGGGAATCCCTCCTTTTTTTTCGAGCTGTACACACACACACACGTCCTTCGTCTTATTTCGGGGCTATACGATTCTTTCCACGACAAGCGAATAATAATCCCCTCATCCGATATTCGTGCTCGACCAAGTTATCCCTTCGAAAACTCGGGATCGTTTTATTAAAATATTCTCATTCACGTTACCGATACGTAAACAAATGTCGGGGAGAGAAAAGGACGAGGAAAGGAACGCTCGGTTTTTTTCATGCAGCAACCGCTAATTGAGAATGAGAAAAGGTAGGTCAGGACGGAGGAAGTCCCCGGCCGCGTATCGGTCAACGACCTCGCGCGCGGTTACGTAACGAACGACGCGTGGAACGTCGTCGTCGTCGTCGTCGTCGTCGTCGTCGTCGTCGTATCTTCGGCTGTGACAGGGCGCAGGCGCGCGCGCGCTTCGTGTGCATGCACGTATGCGTACGGAATTGGCGACACACTGTTGGTCGTCAAGTGACTCCTCTCTCGTGACGTCAGACACGCGACCTCGCCTACCTCAACTTCGTGCACGGACCGGCAGAGAGACGAGAGAACGATGTACCGTTGCACCTCCGCGCCCGGCCTGTCAATCGGTGCACGCGTTCGATGCAAGTCAATGAACTGTCAGCGTTGCCAATGTTAAGCTTCCCCGTGCGATCGGCCACGCTTACTCGCCGCATCTCTGTCCCCGGCCAACCTTTGAAATCCTCTCTCTGCCTTCTGCTAAACCCGGGCCAATGAACCCTGCTCGCGTTTGTTTTCGAAGAAACGCGCCTCTTTCACGGGGTCACGAATTTCCATCGTGTCGGATGTCGTAGGGGCGTACGTAGATGGCGCTAGTTATTAATTGGATACCCCTCCCTCCCCCCCCCCTCATTCCTCCCCTGTCACGAGGGGATTTTATTGGTGAGGATCGATCCGGAATTTTTGGTGTTTTTGTAGATTAGATTAGATTTCAAATTTCTCGTTAAATATTTATGGGATACGCATCGATCGAAATCCTGTAATTTATTATTCTTGATCGATTATATCATTGATGGGGATAAAATTTGGATAAGAATGTGTAATTTATTCTCCATATATAATATTATTCTTGGTTCCGTTAGGTTTTTCGACTAGCTTGAATTGGAGGGAGATTCATAGGGATTTGGAAGATTGGGAAGGTGTTAGGGGGCGCGAGCTGGTATCACGGATGCCCGGACGAGGCCAGCAACCCCTGTTGAACCCCTTGGCTTGGCGGGAATCCGGCGGGTGGAGTGGGACTGGAGGGGTGGGATTGTGGGAGAATGCGGTGCATCGATCTCTCAAACTCTGTGCATTCCCCCTGACGGGTCAGGGGGCGACCACCTTTGCGTGCTCTGCTCCGCAACTTACGTGTGTGGCGCACGCGCCACCATTGTGTCACAGCCACAATGCATCTTCCACCCCCACGTTTTTTCATCAACGAGTTATTTCAAAACAAACCCCCTTCCTTAAATTTTTTCGAATGAAAAAGAAATCAACAGGGTGGGGAAAAAATTAGAAAAGATCGAAAACGAGCTGTAATCGTCGAAACTTTCGCTCGAGAAACTTTCCTCGATCGCATCAACAATCTTGAACAACCCACCCGCAACAGTCCATCCCTTCCTCGATCCCTTCCTTCTCCGAAAAAATCCATCCTCCCTCCTCCACCCTCGAGGAATTCGCACGCGAGCGTCGAACCCGTCGAAATGGCCCCTCGTGAGTGTCCCGCGTCACGTTCACCGGTTGTGTTCGCTTTTATTTTCCGCGAAAGGAGCGAGTTCGCGCGGTGCGCGCGCGCGCGCGTGCATCTGCGTGCACAACTGCGTGTTGATGCGGCGAGAGCGCGTACATACAGATGTAGGTAAGGAGAGTGTGAGAGGTATACAACACACGACGTGGTCGCGGGGCCAACGACCGGAGCGCGCGACCGTGCCTCGCTTTGGTGGGGGATGGAACGTTGCTGGGATGGTGGGGGAAGGTGAGTGTATCTGCTCCCACGGGCGAAACGCGCGAAGGGGACAACGAAGAAGACGGGAAACGAAAGAACAGGGAAACGGATGGTGGAGAGAAGGAGCGACGAGGAAGGGAACGTGGGGAGGGAGAAAAAATGGCGAGAAAGAGAGGTGTCGTGAGAGTGCGACGAGCGATGGAGCGGTGGAGGGGGAGAGAGAGAGAGAGAGAGAGAGAGAGGAGGAGAGAGACGAAC